ACAGGCAAAGCGTCAATACAGGACAAAGATCGAATCGTACTACACCGGCTCTGATGCTCGTCGAATGTGGCAGGGCTTGCAAACTATTACAGACTACAAAGGGAAGCATAGCCATGAGGTTCCCAGTGAAACGAGCATACCAGATGAGCTAAATTACTTCTAGCTCGCTTCGAGGATAGTAACACTGAAACATGCATGAGAGCATCAGCTTTTCCGGATGACTGTGTGATCACGTTCTCCGTAGCCGATGTGAGTAAGACCTTTAAACAGGTCAACATTCACAAGGCCGCAGGGCCAGATGGATTACCAGGACGTGTACTCCGAGCATGCGCTGACCAACTGGCAAGTGTCTTCACTGACATTTTCAACCTCTCCCTGTCTGAGTCTGTAATACCAACATGTTTCAAGCAGACCACCATAGTCCCTGTGCCCAAGAACACTAAGGTAACCTGCCTAAATGACTACCGACCCGTAGCACTCACGTCTGTAGCCATGAAGTGCTTTGAAAGGCTGGTCATGGCTCACATCAACACCATTATCCCAGAAACCCTAGACCCACTCCAATTTGCATATCACCCCAACAGATCCACAGATGATGCAATCTCTATTGCGCTCCACACTTTCCTTTTACACCTGGACAAAAGGAACACCTATATGAGAATGCTGTTCATTGACTACAGTTCAGCGTTCAACAACATAGTGCCCTCAAAGCTCATCACTAAGCTAAGGATCCTGGGACTAAACACCTCCCTCTGCAACTGGATCCAGCCTATAGGGAAGAGGTCAGAGACCTGGTCGTGTGGTGCCAGGACAACAACCTCTCCCTCAACGTGATCAAGACAAAGGAGATGATTGTGGACTACAGGAAAAAGAAGAGGGTCGAGCACTCCCCCATTCTCATCGACGGGAATGTAGTGGAGCAGGTTGAGAGCTTCAAGTTCCTTGGTGTCCACATCACCAACAAACTAACATGGTCCAAGCACACCAAGACAGTCGTGAAGAGGGCACGACAAAATCTATTCCCCTTAAGGAGAATGAAAAGATTTGGCATGGGTCCTCAGATCTTCTAAAGGTTCTACAGCTGCACCATCGAGAGCATCACTGCCTGGTATGGCAATTGCTCGGCCTCCGACTGCAAGGCACTACAGAGTGTAGTGCGTATGGCCCAGTACATCACTGGGGCCAAGCTTCCTGCCATCCAGGACCTCTATACCAGGCGGTGTCAGTGGAAGGCCCTAAAAATTGTAAAAAAATTGTCATAGACTTCTAAACAGCTTCTACCCTCAATCCATAAGATTCCTGAACATCTAATCAAATGGCTACCCATACTATTTGCATTGCCCCCCCCCCCCACCCCTCTTTTACACTGCTGCTACTTTCTCTTGATTATCTATGCATAGTCACTTTAATAACTCTACCTACATGTACATATTACCCCAATTACCTCGACTAACCGGTGCCCCCGCACATTGACTCGGTGCCGGTACCCCCTGTATATAGCCTCATATTTTTATTTTTACTGCTGCTCTTTAATTATTTGTTACTTTTATTTCGTCTTATTTTATATTGTATTTTTTCATGATTTCTTTTTGTATTCTTTCTTAAAACTGCATTGTTGGTTAAGGGCTTGTAAGTAAGTATTTTCACTGTAAGGTCTACACCTGTTGTATTCGGCGCATGTGACAAATAACAGTTAATTTGATTTGAAGTAGCCCATTTCAGTGTTGCGGACAATTTATGTTTGAGGCTTTACTGAGCCGGACAAACTTCTCTCTTCGAGGAGAACCCAAGCACGCCTTCAACAATGTTTCCACAGATCAAGTATGCAGACATTTGCGCAGTCTTGCATGAATTGGACAATTTTCTGACTGGCGCCTGCATTGCCTTCCTTGTTATTTTCCTTACAAATAATAACTTTGGACACGTGTGCGTTCCTATCAAAGTAAGTGCCTTATTTTCTGTATATCGTGTTGTCGTTTCTACTGTAGCATACAGTTTGTATGTATGTATGTATGTATGTATGTATGGATCATAATGTATTTACAGTTTTATTCACATGTTTTCAAGTACTGGTGACAAATAATGCATTCTGATTATTGCATAGATTGTAATGGAGACCTATGATGTGTTTTAAATACTTTTTTGAAGGTTCTACTGATTATAATGAGCTAATGCTAAGCTATTTGACAGCTATGTGTGGCGCCATGTTTGTTGACATTATACAATGCATTCTGGGTGTCATGTAAATGTCTGTCAGACCAAAGATGTTATAATGAGGTGAAGACTAAACATCCGGAAGTGAATGAAGGGAAGTGAATGATGGTAGACGACACACACCCTTCAACATGCATACTGCAAACAGACCAAACTCATTGTTATGATGAGTTTCTCCAGTATCAAGTATTTCATGATGCAAGAGAATAGTTAAACACTTAGATGGAGAGGTGATACAAAGTATGTAATAGATACAGTACCGGATTCAACGTAACAAGGCACAAGTCAATTGCCTCTTGCCATTTGAATGATTGGCATACAAAATCTCTCAGTTTATATACTGCTTTGTAATCTAATTCTATCCAACAGTTGCCAACCATTATTGAGTGTCACTCCCAACCACAATAGCATCACCCTAGATGGTATCATCTTGCACCCTAGTCAGGACATTCCATCACATACTCATTCTAAAAGTAACATCAGTGGCCCCCACAGCCTTCTTGGCACGCATACCTTCTGGCACCCACCAGTGACAGAAATAAATGGAATGTCCTCATCCTCAAAAATCTCATGCAACACAATATCAGTCACATTTACAAATCCTGTATAAAATACGTCATATCACTCATTTTGTGTCCTCTTATTATCTTTGGTTGATTCGAAAAAACAAACATGGCGGCACACACAAACTACCCATCGTCGGATTACTGTTGATTTCTAGAAAGCGTTTTACTCAATTATTTTGATCAATGGTGAGCTCACCCATGATGTGATTAATTATAAATAGTAATTGCTATTAGCTGATTCATATTATGGTTTCTGACAGCCGAGAGTTATCTAAATATGACCGCTTGTGTTACGTCAATCGTTCCTCAATTAACGCTACGACTAATGTAGCCTACATCTTCCGGTTTGGATGATTGTGTATGCTGCCGCTATTTCTGTGAAGGTCTGAACGTTGCATCCAAAAATAAACTGGTCACATTCAGGATATAACTTTGTAAGGACTGTGTTTGTGCAAAATGTTTCTGTGAAAAAACAGTGTGGCTAGCTCAAATGCTGACTATTGCATCCAGTTTGGGGCAAACTAAAAAAATAACGTTTTTTATGCATGCCAGCAAAGCGACAACACAACACTAAACAATAAAATAATTGGACTATAACATTTACATTTTAGTCATTTAGCAGACGCTCTTATCCAGAGCGACTTACAGTTAGTGAGTGCATACATTTTTCATACTGTAACGGTGACAATCGGTGCCCACAAACTGTTAGGGCCAACATAAACCTGTCCCAACGCTGGAATCTCAAGAGCAGTCCCAACACCTTACCACTGTTACACTGGCTATCAGCAGAGCCTTGTCTGGCAGTGAAACAGTTAATTCAGCCTCATTTACTGCCTTTTAAAAAAACATAGCTGATATGGCTGACTTGCTTAAAGAAATGTGGTTTCTACTGACAATTGAGATGTACACACTATGGCATGAGGGGACGACGAGCGGATAAGAGGCAATCCGTAATTTCGATTAAGACATTAATGAGAGAACTAGGACGGACTGTGCTGTGCTCACTTGAACAGGAAGGTGGCGCGACGGTCCTTCGTGGGTTAATTTTGCCATGAAACTTTGTCATCAAAGTCTGGCATTCTCTGGATTTATGGTGCTTTCAAGACTACTGGGAACGCGGTTGTCATGACATTAGTGATCTTCAGGTTGGAGCTCTAGAAAGAGGCCTGAGTTCCTGACTCGGAATCCCGAGTTGGATGACCGTTCAAAAAGTATTTTCCCAGTCGGAGCTCGTTTATTTCAGAATTCCCAGTTGTCTTGAACTCACTGAAGTCTAAGATCTCCCAGTTCTGAGTTTCCAGTTGTTTTGAAAGCGGCAGAAGTCATGCTGGATTGACAGCATGGCCAACTTTGAATGTTTATCCTTTTAAACTTGAACCCAGACTTGAACCACACATACACTCCACTGAATAACAGGCTAGTGATTGCTTTGCGATGCTTGCAGTTAGCCACTGATTCCTTCCAAATCCCTAATTGTTGAATTTGAGATTTCCAACTTTTTGTATAATGTTTATGTCCAATGGCCGATGAGCAACGATACATTTTATTTATAATGTCTCTTCATAATTTCTCTTCATATGACAAGGATTGAAAAGGATTTGCCAGTAGGTTGTCGACTTGATTCATGATGACTGCTAGTTTGCTAGCTAAGATTTTGAAAGTATGATGTTGACATGATCAGTCCAATCAAAGCTACTGTAGATATAACGTGATTTGACTGCATTGTATCTATGGCCAATGACCTTGAGCCTTCTTGGATGGGCACTTCTAATGCAACTCAATGGCAGCACCCAAGGGGCTTGAATTTTCGAGCTCTCCCCGTAGATTTTGCGGTGATGTAGTGTCCCCATGAGTGATAGAACACTGAGCCAATCACGGCGCAAGTAGAGAACATTACCAACACCTACGCTCCGTATTTTCCTCTGGCTGCCCCACCCCCACAGAAAGCACTGAGCTAGGCTGAAACACCTGCATTTTGGAGCTGCCTTACTCAAGAAAGCAAAAAAGAGACCATGTTTGTATGCAGCTTCATTCTTTTTTCTTTTTTTTTTTTACATTGATTGCAAACTGATATGTGATACATATTAATGCCAAAATAACATGCTCTGTCCCACCTGCCCTGAATGATGGGTCGCCACTGGCGGGGACCATCCCTTACAGCTGTGTCTGGAGGAATGAGACTGGATTCCTGGCTGCCCGCTGATCGACAACCTCTCCCAGAGCATCCACCAGAGCAAGAGGACCGTGTGCATACTGACCAACAAGTACATCAGGAGTGTGGTGTTCAAGACTGCGTTCTGCGTGGCCCATCAGTGGCTTATGGATGAGAGAGATGATGTGATTGTCTTGATTTTCCTGGAAAAGGCCCCCAGTCACTCAAAGTACCTGAAACTCAGGAAGAGGTCGTATAGTCGGTCAGTGATGGAGTGGCCAAGAAATCCTCAAGCACAGCAATACTTTTGGTTTAGCTTAAGGAGTGTACTGGCAACGGACAGTCAGAAACAAACAGTAATCTCTTCATGGAGAGTCTTTGAAAAGGGCAAACATACAGTGATGTCGCACTGTTAAGAATCAATAGCATAGTCGTTTTTTGTGATTGTGTAGGCTGATGATTGTGTAAATGCTTGGATTGAAGGACAGTTCTGATGTACACATTATATGTCATTGTGTTAAATGAAAATATATGGATAAGAACTTGGTACAACTTTAATACTGACTGATTATGTTTACTGTATTTAAATATTTTGACATATACTGTCACAAGTAGTGTTACCTGATCAACAAATTAATCAAATAATAATAATTCACAAAAAAAGTAAAACAGTATAAAAAGAAATGCCTTCAGAAAGAGGGAACCAAATCAGGTGAGAACTTATAATAACCCCAAAAATATGTGCCACCACACCCAGAGTCCACCTGGTTGAGGGAACCAATCAGCTTGCTCAACACATTTGACTGACTGTGGCTGCAAGGGGAATTTGAGTTGCACTTCACTTGTGATTGAGTAGAGAAGAGTTTAGTCATTACATAGGGGAACAAAGCGATACGTAAAAACACCCTGATAACAGACAGCCATTTGCAGTTTCATTTCACTTCCTTTTTTTGCTTACTGGAAACTAAATCTGGACAACGACCAGGCACTACTTATTTGATAGGATGTTCAAATCTCACAATGGCTCAACAGTAAATAACATTTACATTTACATTTTAGTCATTTAGCAGACGCTCTTATCCAGAGCGACTTACAGGAGCAATTAGGGTTAAGTGCCTTGCTCAAGGGCACATTAACGTCATTTAGCAGACGCTCTTAGCCAGAGCGACTCACAAATTGGTGCGTTCACCCTATAGCCAGTGGGATAACCACTTTACAATTTGGGGGGGGGGGGGGGGGGGGGGGGGGTTTAGAAGGATTACTTTATCCTATCCCAGGTATTCCTTAAAGAGGTGGGGTTTCAAATGTCTCCGGAAGGTGGTGAGTGACTCCGCTGTCCTGGCGTCGTGAGGGAGCTTGTTCCACCATTGGGGTGCCAGAGCAGCGAACAGTTTTGCCTGGGCTGAGCGGGAACTATGCTTCCGCAGAGGAAGGGGAGCCAGCAGGCCAGAGGTGGATGAACGCAATGCCCTCGTTTGGGTGTAGGGACTGATCAGAGCCTGAAGGTACAGAGGTGCCGTTCCCCTCACTGCTCCATAGGCAAGCACCATGGTCTTGTAGCGGATGCGAGCTTCAACTGGAAGCCAGTGGAGTGTGCGGAGGAGGGGGGGTGACGTGAGAGAACTTGGGAAGGTTGAACACCAGACGGGCTGCGGCATTCTGGATGAGTTGTAGGGGGTTTAATGGCACAGGCAGGGAGGCCAGCCAACAGCGAGTTGCAGTAGTCCAGACGGGAGATGACAAGTGCCTGGATTAGGACCTGTGCCGCTTCCTGTGTAAGGCAGGGTCGTACTCTCCGAATGTTGTAGAGCATGAACCTGCAGGATCGGGTCACCGCCTTGATGTTGGCGGAGAACGACAGGGTGTTGTCCAGGGTCACGCCTAGGCTCTTCGCACTCTGGGAGGAGGACACAGCGGAGTTGTCAACCGTGATGGCGAGATCATGGAACGGGCAGTCCTTCCCCGGGAGGAAGAGCAGCTCCGTCTTGCCAGGGTTCAGCTTGAGGTGGTGATCCGTCATCCATACTGATATGTCTGCCAGACATGCAGAGATGCGATTCGCCACCTGGTTATCAGAAGGGGGAAAGGAGAAGATTAGTTGTGTATCGTCAGCGTAGCAATGATATGAAAGGCCATGTGAGGATATGACAGAGCCAAGTGACTTGGTGTATAGGGAGAAAAGGAGAGGGCCTAGAACTGAGCCCTGGGGGACACCAGTGGTGAGAGCACGTGGTGCGGAGACAGCTTCTCGCCACGCCACTTGGTAGGAGCGACCGGTCAGGTAGGACGCAATCCAGGAGTGAGCCGCGCCGGAAATGCCCAGCTCGGAGAGGGTGGAGAGGAGGATCTGATGGTTCACAGTATCAAAGGCAGCAGACAGGTCTAGAAGGACAAGAGCAGAGGAGAGAGAGTTAGCTTTAGCAGTGCGGAGAGTCTCCATGACACAGAGAAGAGCAGTCTCAGTTGAATGACCAGTCCTGAAACCTGATTGGTTTGGATCAAGAAGGTCATTCTGAGAGAGATAGCAAGAGAGTTGGCTAAAGACGGCACGCTCAATAGTTTTGGAAAGAAAAGAAAGAAGGGATACTGGTCTGTAGTTGTTGACATCAGTGGGGTCGAGTGTTGGTTTTTTGAGAAGGGGAGCAACTCTCGCTCTCTTGAAGACGGAAGGGACATGGCCAGCGGTCAAGGATGAGTTGATCAGCGAGGTGAGGTAGGGGAGAAGGTCACCGGAGATGGTCTGGAGAAGGGAGGAGGGGATGGGGTCAAGCGGGCAGGTTGTTGGGCGGCCTGCAGTCACAAGTCGCAGGATTTTATCTGGAGAGAGAGGGGAGAAAGAAGTCAAAGCATAGGGTAGGGCAGTGTGAGCAGGACCAGCAGTGTCATTAGACTTAACAAACGAGGATCGGATGTCGTCAACCTTCTTTTCAAATAATATGGAAATTAATTTTGATTAATTTCAGTTGTTAGTATTGAAGATGGTCACCAAGACTATGTACGATGTGCTTTTCTCAAGTGGTAAAATGTATAATGAATCATGTGACAAAATTACTATTTATAGGGGAAGTAGAATTCAGTCTAATATCCATTATACTGAATTGTTACATTCACAAATGCTTCTTCTAGGCAAACAGGATAACCACTATCCTGAAATTAGTACACAAAGCTATTTGGGCATGGTATTTTGGAGATTTGTTTGGGGGGTGGGTACATCTTCCCATTCTAAATCAACTAATATGGTAGCTTAATGACTTTAATTTGTACTATTATGATAACATTGTGCCACCAGTAGGAGTAGTAACACCAATTAGCAATATTTGGTAAATTAAGATTTTCTGAAATGAAGGCCACAAATGCTCAAATCTAAAGTCATCAACCCTTAAAAAATTACTTACTTAAGTGATATGATTAAGTAATTTTGCTCACAATGTTATTTGCCTTAATTTAATTTGACTAACACCAATTGACACTTTGGATTTAGACACACCAAATTATTAATTTGGCAAAAAGGCACATGTTTACATGGCCTTAAATCTGCAGATTATTCTGAAGCTATTTCCAAAGCCTCCAACATTGTCTCTCACTACCGCAAGTCAACATTTGCACAGGAACTCCTAGAAGGGGAAAATTATATACAACCAGCCACTGTCACAAGATGGAACTCTCAACTGAAAATGATTAGATACTTTTTCAATGCGGATGAAGAACAGCTTGACACACCAAGCTTTTCATGCACAAGAAGTATGTCCTCACTGATGCTGTGGACATTCTAACCCCGTTTGAGGTTGCCACAGATTGCTGCGTGCAAGGATCATCGTCACACCAAGCTACATCATTCCATGCATCAGAGGTATGACTGAACATCTAACCAATTGCTCCACAATGGAAAGCTTGTTAAAAACCTGAAACAAGCAATTGACAAGCGCTTGACCATGGTGCAATGCCACTGAGAAGGCTGCCTTTACTGCAGACATCAAACGTCTTGTCAGAAAGTTCAACAGCACTACACAGGATGTCCCACACGGTGAGCCACCACCACCAGCGAAGAAAAGTTGATTGGACACACTGTTTGGTTTCATGGAACAAACAAGCACGGCTGCATGTACTCCAAACCTCATCTCCCCATATCTTCCACCAACTACTGATCCACTGAAATTCTGGAATACACAGTCATACATACCCAACAATGAGCAGAGTTGCTGCTGAGTACCTACATAACCCAGCATCCTTTGCAGCTGTGGAGATGCTTTTCAGCATTGGAGGGCCTATCTTCAGACCAGATCACTCCTCAATGTCCAACTAGCTTTTTGAAACCCTGATGTTTTTTTAAACGTAACATGGCATCTTGTCCTCTTTCAGAAAACACCAATTTAATGTATGGGCTGCATATTCTGATAAAAAAATGAAGTAAGACTTATAGAAGTTAAGTTGTTTGTTATTTCAAATGTAACTACTAAGTACAATACATTCACAACTATTTTCAAATGCATCCAAATAATTCAAATATTTTCAGGAAAATACTGTCTTTCAAATATGTCTAATGATATGTATTTGAATAAATTATAAATACATGCCAATACTTTCCTAATTGTATTTTGAAATACATTTCAAAATTCAAGTACTTGTTTTTTCAATTAAAAGTTATCTAAATAGTTGTTTTGAAATGTATTGAAAAGTAATTGAAATACCTGAAATAGTTTTTGAACCCAGGTCTGCATCATAATCATAATAAAATGTATTTTAATAGCCTTCTTTTTTTTTTTTGATCTATACTCACTGTCTAACATTTAAAAAAATTATAGATAGATATCTCCAAAACATGTCACTACACCTCTACACATCACCAGTGGGACAAGCTAGTCCCCAGTAGTTTCTACAATGCATACACATACTTCTGTTGCAATATAAAGGATTTACATCAGAATGACCCTATTGCAATAGAGCGGCCATAAAATGTGTGAGTGTAGGTCTACTCCACACAAATGGTTAAAGTCAATAAGTAGGGAGTCTGTCATTATATTTCCATACTCACACGTTTGTACTGTTTGCTTACAGGATGCTACCACCTGCTGGTTACAGTTGGCACCATTGTTCCTGTGTCACTTCCTGCTACCTACCTCATGTACATGGATGCCACGGTAGTTTCCATGTGATGTTACGGTCAATACTACCAATACCACGAATGACATCATCTTTAATTGTGAGGAGCATAGACTGAAAAAGGTACCTGTTGGCATCACCAGGAATATGACCGTGCTGGACCTATCAGAAAACAACATCAGAAATGTATCTCTTGATGCATTTTCTAATCTGGAGGACCGGCCCTTCTCAATCTCAACTGTGTCAACAAAAAAGGTGAAACACATATCGCTGAAGGTGCCTTCAAAAATCTGACAAACCTGCAAGACCTAAGACTTAATTGCAATGGCCTCATCAAAAATTCCTCGAAATCTCCCACTCATTCTGGATAAACTCATGCTAGAAAATAACAAGATCAATTTCTCGAACATGAGCTACCTCGCCGGTATACAACATGTGAAGGAGCTGTACTTATCCAAAAATTACTATTACTGGAATCCCTGTGAGACTGACTTTACCATTGGAAACGGCACCTTCTCATTATTGAATAACTTGAAGGTTTTGATGTTGGCCTATAATAATTTAACTCAACTTCTGAAAGTACTGCCAAGCTCTATACAAATATTACACCTTGATTCAAACAAGATACAGCAAAGGATGATTTCCTTGGACTAACCCATCTAAACATCCTGGAATTACAGGGAAACTGTCCAAGATGCTCCAATGCTCCATATCCTTGTGTTCCCTGCCCTAATGATTCTCTGGATATTCATCCTCATGCATTTCATGGTCTTACACAGTTACAGACACTGCACCTAGCAGGCAACTCACTTCGTTTCATCAATAACTTGTGGTTTGAGAGCTTGAACAATCTTACACATCTGTTCCTATATTTTAATTACTTAGCAAATTGTATCACCAATGGACATTTTTTTTAGCTATCTACCAAAACTAGACAATATAGATTTTTCATTTAATTATGATTTGCTTGCCTACCCTGAAACCCTACAGCTTTCAAAAAACGTTTCACAATTGGTGTCTCTTACAACATTACATAAAATTGTTTTTGTTTTTAGGGAAATTCATTCAGAAACGCTCAGACCACTTATGAACTCAAAAATCTTTCAGTGTTGAACATCGGAACAAACTTAATTGTTCGCTCTGATTCCCCCATATTCAGCAAATTCTCAAACTCAAGTCTCAAAGTAATTTATCTTGCAGAAAACAGGCTTTATCCACTTTCAGTGAATGAGTCCCCAGGTTGTGGCATAGGAAGCAACTTAAATTCAGTGTTGTACACATCGCCACTAACTGGGTATTATTCAAATTCAAGGGACTTTTCTTACGGATTAAATCACAACCTTGTGAAGCCAGAATGCTTTATCTCTGATCCAGTGGTGATTTTAGCATGTAAATCTTGGTGGGGCAAAACAAACTAATACAAGTGGGATGCATGCCAGCAAAGCCACTACACAACACAACACTAAACAGTACATTAATTGCACTATAACGGTGACAAACGGTGCCCACAAACTGTTAGGGCCTACATAAAGCTGTCCCAACAGCAGAGTCCCAAAAGCAGTCCCAACATCTTACCACTGCTACACCTGGCTATCAGCGGAGCCTTGTCTGGCAGTGAAAAAGTTAATTCAGCCTCATTTACTGCCTTTAAAAAAAACATAGCTGGTATGGCTGACTTGCTTAAACAAATGTGGTTTCTACTGACAATTGAGATGTACAACCTATGGCATAAGGGGACGACAAGCGGATAAGAGGCAATCCGTAATTTCGAATAAGACATTAATGAGTGAGCTAGGACGTACGTAGTCAATATAACTATTTGTTTAGCACTTTTGAAATGTACTGCGACATAATTCAGAACATGGGCCGTTCTTACAGTGTTCTCCCTGTACACCAAGTCAGAACCGTAGGATAAATAAAGGGGGCATATAAGCAGTCAACGAAAGTTCTTACAATATTCGATGATTACATTTCTCTAAAACAGGTTGTAGCCTACATGTGCACCACTAACTCAGAACAGTAGGTGAAATTAAGAGGGGAAAATAGACAAAATTATTAGGGTGAGGCACATGGGCTACTAACAGCTTACTACACAACTTACACTTAGTATTACTTTCTTAGCTACAGTATACACATCTCCCTGGCATATTACATCATTTATGCAGCAGCATACAGTACATTTTTGGACTCACCTTGTTGTGCTGTGCTCACTTGAACAGGAAGGTGAGGCGACGGTCCTTCGTGGGCAAATTTTGTCATCAAAGTCTGGCATTTTCTGGATTTATGATGCTTTCAAGACAACTGGGAACTCTGAAAAAAACAAGGTTGAATCATGATGACGTCAGTGATCTTCAGGTCGTAGCTCTAGAAAGAGGCCTGAGCTCCGGATTTACAATTCCGAGTTGGATGACCGCTCAAAACGTATTTTCCCAGTCGGAGCTCGTTTTTTCCTGAGTTCCCAGTTGTCTTGAACTCACTGAAGTCAAGTTTTCGCAGTTCCGAGTTAACAGTCGTTTTGAGCGAGGCACAAATCATGCTTCATTGACAGCATGGCCAATGTTTGAATGTTTATCATTTTTAACTTGTAAAAGAGACCCTTAATCCCAGATTTGGGACCACACAGCCACTCCACTGAATAGCGGGCTTGTGATTGCTTTGCCAGTAGATTGTCGACTTGATTCATGATGATGACTGCTAGCTAAGATTTTGAATGTATGATATTGACATGATCAGTCCAATCAAAGCTACTGTAGATATAATGTGATTTGACGTCATTTTATCTGTGGCCAATGACCTTGAGCCTTCTTGGATGGGCACTTCTAATGTAACTCTATGGCAGCACCCAAGGGAATTGAATGTTTTAGCTCTACCCTTAGGCTTGGCGGTGACGTAGTGTCCCCATGAGTGACAGAACACTGAGCCAATTACGGCACAACTAGAGAACATTACCAACACCTACGCTCCGTATTTTCCGCTGGCTGCCCCACCACCACAGAAAGCACTGTGCTAGGCTGAAACACCTGCATTTTGGAGCTGCTTTACTCAAGAAAGCAAAAAAGAGACTATGTATGCGGCTTTATTAACTCAATGATATTTGTATTTTTTACAATGTTTGCAAACTGATATGTGACACTTATTAATGCCAAAATAACATGCAAAACAGGCAAGCCCCACCTGCCCTTAATGACGGGTCGCCACTGGTTGCGTTAATCGAAACTGGACGTTCTAAATAAGCATTCTAATCACACCGGTTTGAGCGTACGCTGCAGGGACCACTGTAGAATGATTACACCCATTTGTTGGTACTTGTGAAAACGTTAATTGTTTCATTAGTTATTTCAATGTTAAGTTCCTCCTCCCATTTCTGTTTAATATAGTTTGTAGAGTGTTCCTTTGAGGATAGAATACTCAAGTAAAGATTTTAAATAGTTTATTTGATACTCCCCAAATTGTATGCGTTAGTGAATACTTGGATACATTTCTGGGGTGCCCGAGGGTCAATCACTTTTATTTCTTTTAAAAGTAGTGTCGAACCTGTAGATACCTGTAAAAATCCTGTTTATCCAAGCCATGTTTTTCACTTAGGTCCTGGAAGTTCTCTAGATCCCCCATTCCTTATAATTGTACAAAATGATGTGATGCCTTTTTACATCCACTGTTTAAATCTGCTATTCTGAATTGCAAGGATGAAGCTGGGGTCGTATGCGGGCCAGCTTAGCAGTTTGACCTCTCTGTCTAACTGAATTTGCTTAACTACCCTAAACCATGTCTTCAGAGAGAAATTAATCCACTGATTTTGTATTTTGTATATTTCTACTACCATGTCCTTATTACCCAAAACTGACTGTATGGGTATCTCTGTCAAAGTAGTCTCGATGTCTCACCATTTGTTTTCATATTCTGAAATGCACCAACACACCAAAGGTCTCAACTGGTCATGAAAATAACGTTTGAATGAAAATATGTAATTCATTGTTATTTTAATATGTTGGTAACCGTTTTTCAGAAAATCCATCATGGGGGAAGTTAGGTACTGTGGTAAATGTATTCCTTGTATGCAAATGTAGGCACATTTAAATCGTTATATAGTTCATAAACTAGTTATATAATTGTACAACCTTTTTATATTTATTTTATTATTATAATAATTATAACGTTTTTCTTTTGTTGTTACATGTACATTCTACACACATTTTACAGAAGTTTTTACAGAAGTTACATAGCAAGAATAAAGTAATTTGATATTTTGATATACATTATATCTAGATAGATAGTACTTATAAGAGGGCGGTATACGGAGATGGGAGCTGAGGGGTGGATTGAAAAGGTCATGCTCTATAACAGTTATTACTGAAAACACAATGTATAATGTATGTTTTCTATTTGCCATATACAGTATTTTTCAACTGTGCTGTGATGTTTCACATAAATTCTTAACATGTCTTATCACATAGTATCTACAGATTGTAAGTTAAAGATAAACATTTTTACTGAAAGTATTATTATATTGTTGATTGATTGGCTATGGTTTTTCAAATCTCCCAACAGTGCTGTTGGGGTTAAATTTGAGATAAATGTGATTTCATTTTTTGCCATTCCTGAACCTGTGACCAGAAACAAGCTACATAGGGGCAATACCAAAACAAGTGATCCAATGATTCTGTCTCTTCGCAGCAAAATATGCAGAGCTGAGATTATTGTATGCCCCATATACATAACATTATGTTTGTGGCAAGAATGTTGTATAATAACGTAAATTGAAAAACTCTAAGTTTTGAATCAAGCATATCAGTTCAGAAACCATGTGCCACGGAATCGGGCACTTCAAAAATCTCTTCCCAACTATTTTGAAACCTGTATGGAGTCATTTTGGTCATCAATTAAAGCTGATATATATTTTTATCTATGCTTTTTTGTTGGGGGGGGGGGTTCCAATTCCCATACCTTCTCCCCCTTCCACTTGCCTCTGTCGTGGCATGACCTTCATTAATCTCAAGACTGTTATTTCTCTATTTAACTACCTATGTTTAATTGTTACCCAATTAAATTAGTCATGTAACAATGAACTCATTTGGATTTGGGGCACCATGGAAGGTATATATCTATTACATCGATAAACAGTAAACTTATTAATCATTACCTCATATCATATCATAATTATGAACGTCGTATCCTCCTTGCCTCTGCAAAAAAACCCAGCCTTACTTATAATTCAGTACTACAAAAATTATTTTAATTATTTATTTACTAGCTAACTAAATACAATACAGGATAACATACACACTTATTACATTAACAACATGTCCCTGGCGGACTGCTGACAACATGACTGCTATTACAAAATATGGCGAGGTAGAGAGAGGAGAGAGAGAGGAGATAGAGTGAGAGCATAGAGTAGAGAGAGAGAGAGAGAGCACGAGAAGAGAGAGAGAGAGCGAGAGAGAGAGAGAGAGAGAGAGAGAAATACAGTGGTCACCACCTTTGATACATTTGGAACTACTCTCACAGTAAATATATACTTTGCACACGAACCGCCGCCCGTTTGGTGTAAGAAATCATGAATGTATTTATGTGAGATACCTTGGTTCTTCGTTTATTTCTGCCGGAACCAAGCATTCTTGGAAAGGGGTTGGCTGGGCCTTTCCGCGGCCTGCTTGTAAGGCTCTGATTGTCACGATGGTCACAATGTCCTTCTTCTTAGTTGTCCGTGGCTCCAATGACTTGTCATGTAGTCTTGAACAGAACTACAGAATACTACAGTATTATGAAAAACAATTATCTCATTATAGCGTCTCAAATCACATTCCTATCTTAACGAGAAGAAGAATTTCATAATTTTTCCTATTTCATTCACAATGCATCGAATTAAAACTTCATACATATAGTGTCTATACTTTCAAGTTACAGTATTTCCTCTATTAATGTTTTTAATGGCATCACAAAATAACAACCCATATGGCATTATTATTCTTTAGATCGCCTCTGACCATTCCCCACATTCTATGTTAGAAATATTGTTCCAGTATTCGCTTTAGAACGAGTTAGAATTTCGGCAGGAAAACATCTGTGAACAAAGGCACATTCCTGTGTGAATTTGGAGAGGGAGATAGCTGAAAGTTCTAATCCTTGATTTACAACAGGGTGTGAGCTGTCAACCCCCCACCAGCTCCCTCCTCCCCCCTCT